GCCCTAAACTCCACTCTGTCCTGTGCCAATCGCACTGTCTCCGACACTCCCATCCCAATTATCCCAGTCACTGAATCAATCCACCTCATAGAGGGCCTTCGAAGGAGAGTCCTTATAATATTATTATTATATTATTATAATATTATTCCTTGTTTATCTCAAATTCATATTTAATTGAGCGTTATATAAATTTATTTACTAAATCTGTCACTCCTACCCTAAAAAGAAAAAATCTGAATCTCTCAGTGTCCATCACCACCCAGCACCTTGAGCACCTTCATTTGGTTCCTGATTTAAGCGTTGTTGTTGTTGTTGTTGCTGTTGTTGCTGTTGGCTGCACTGAGGTGGCTACATCTCCTCGTAACCCTGGGAACAACAGCTCAGATCCTTACCCCATCCTGCACCAACTCTGCAACCTCCAACATACTCAAGCCAATTATTGCAGGCACTGCGCCTTTTCACTTCTTTGGGAATCTTCCTCTTTTTTGCCAACTCTGTGCTTATTCAAGTATGATGTCTTTTTCCCAAGGACTGGGCCCTCCTGACAGCATGCCTGAAATCTGTGAGGTGACATTTCACCATCTTTGCCTCTCAAGAGCACCCCGATTATACTTTCTCCAAGACAGTTACTTGGTTTTACTGGCAGTCCATGGCAGCCAATACTCTCTCCTAACTCAACAATTCAAACACATCGATTCGTTCATGTTTTTAGTTAATGTTCCAAATTCCACATGCAAATGAAGTCATTGAAAATGCCATGGCTTGGGTCAGGTGCACCTTAGTCTTTAAATGGAATCCTTGTTCTGTAGTACTTTAAAGAAGTCCTTGACAGCAAAATTGCTCAAGGCAGCATATCTTTCGAATTCTTGACTGTTGTCACTAGGGGAGCTATTATGATTGATTTAAACATAATCTTCAAGAGTAAATGGGAACAATATTCAATGATGAGAAATAAACTTTAAGTCAGTACTGATGGGGATTGACAAATACAATCTCTATGGAGTATGTCTCATTGAGAAAAATCCTCACAGTGTCTACAGTGGGATTGAGCACAGCTGAGAATGTCAGGATGGCGCAGGAGCAGGCAGGGTCTCTTTCTTTTGTACATGGGGCCACTGTGAGACAGAAGAAACTTGAGGCACCTAACAATAGCATGGATCAGGGAAATAGAGAAGCAAAGCACCTTCTATGAAATAAAAAAATGCAATAAAAATCATAAGTATACTCATTTTCAAAAACTTCTACCATAATTAATGTATATAGCTTGCACAATTAAAATCTAAAACATGTTCCATGCCTAAGACAAAAATAATATTTCCCAGATTTTTATAATTAGCTAAGAACTAGAGAAACTTTGATTACATTTTATTTTGGTATCTGTGGTTCTGGTGTGATTGATTCACCTCAACTTATCATTCTCTCCTCTTCTCTTCTCTTCTCTTCTCTTCTCTTCTCTTCTTCTCTTCTTCTCTTCTTCTCTTCTCTTCTCTTCTCTTCTCTCTCTTCCTGTGTGTGTTTTCTTATCCCTCTTTTGTTTCCCTCTCCCTCTTTCTTCTAGATACCTGAACAAGAATAAAGATCTGACAGTTATTTCCAAGGATGCATTTGAAGGAGTTTGCAGTGGACCAACTTTGCTGTGAGTAAGACATCAAGAGAATATTTGTCTTTTTTTTTTCCTTAGAAGGGAAGAGAGAGAGTAAAAGGAGCCCCTTTGTTCATAATGTTAGATAACAGCTTCTTCTGATGCTTTTATGACTAGATGTTCAGGCTACTCCTAAAAGAAAGTCCATGCTCTCTGAAACTCAGAAGTCCCTATCCTTCAACATGCCAGTCAGGCAGCCACGTCTATGTGGACAGAGAGGTTCTCCTGTGGAAAAATAATAGCTACTGAGGCTGCGTCTCGCATACTTTGGGAATGCTGCTGCCAGGAGGGACCAATCATTTGAGAAGGATATCATTTTCAGAAGGGTGGAGGGAGAGGAAGACCCTGGATGAGATGGATTAACACAGGAACTGGGGTAATTGGGGTAGGTGTATCAGAGACAGTAAGATTGGTTCAGGATGCAGCAGGATTCAGAGCTATTGAGCATAGATCTGCCATGAGTCATGGTCAACTCAAAGGTACATAACAACAACAACATGCAGACATTACTCCTCAGACAGTGAACCAACATTATGTGTGGCTGTCATGTTGAGCAGCTTTCAGCAGAACGTTAATAATAAAGATGTATGTCTTAGTTACATAATGCTACTCTAATAAATGGTATACATGGGTGATTTTAATAACAGAAATGTATTCTTTTCTCATTTTAGAAGGCTAGAAGTTCATATTCAGGACACTAGTTCCAATGAAAGGTGGTCTCTCTCTTTCACTTTCTTTTTCTTTTTGACAGCTCTTGGGTCAAGTCCTTATGATCAATCCTGCTAGGGTCTAGGAGCTTCTAAGCACAAGGACTCCAGATCCAAAGGATATACGTTGCTCCTGGCTTTTCTTCTTGGTAGCACTGAGGTCCCTCTCTCTGCTCACTTCCCTCTTCTCTTATCTCGTGTAAGATAAAAGATGATGCAGCCTACATCCCAGGGAAACTTGCCATACATGAATCAGGATTGTGACCTGAGTAAGGGTGTTATAAATATCCCAGATTAATCCTAGTAAAACTTATTGACTGGTTCTATCAAATCAAAATATGAGAGATGATTAAACCACAACATAACTGCCAACCACTGAGAATCATGGCCTACTCAAACTGATACATACTTTGGGAGGCATATTTCAATCTATGACAATGCATGAGGAAGAAAAAGACCTGGAAATCAAATTCCAAATAAATCAGCCAATGATAGCAGTTAAATGTGCAGCCGGCTTTGTTGCTGACTCAGAGCTGGTCAATGTTTTGTTTAGTTTCAAGTGGGATCACAATGAATTTGGAGCCAACCACCACAGAGCAGGATGGAGGACCCCAAGAGGAAGATCTACTAGAAATCTTATATCATTGTATCTGACAGATTTGACAATTTGAAAAACTAGTTTAGGATGAGTTTTGTAGAACTTTTGGGGGGTGTGTGTGAAGACTGAACAAAAGATCCATTTGTATCCAATTATGCAAGCCAAAGAGAGAGACAGACATATCATGAAGAAGCAAAAAAAGTTTTACAAGAAAGGAAGTGAAAGGGAGATGATTTGGAAAGATGGAGGGCCAGTGAAAGAGAAGAAAACCCTCAATGAGACCGATTGACACCGTGACTGCAGCAGTGAGCTCAATGTGTCAGAGGTGATGAGGATTCACAGGGTGGGAAATGGCTCAGGTTTGTTGTTCGTAGGGTTGCTGTGGGTTGTACTTGACTCTATGGCAACAACAACAACAACAACATCGGGCCTAGCAATTCACAGCGGAGTGGTAAAAACCAAAACACACAATATGAATTTAACAAAAGTCCTCTAGAACTATTTCAAGAGTTGGAGGAGTGTCAGAGAGGCTTTGCACGTGTCTATAGGGTGACAGTCAAGTTCAAACCCATTGCCTTTGAGTCAGTTCTGACTCGTAAAAACCCTGTAGGACAGAACAGAACTTCCCATAGGGTTTCAGAGAGTGTAAATCCTCACAGAAGCAGACTGCTCCATTCTCTCCCAACCAGTGACTTCTTGATTTGCAGCCAACTTCTTTAACCCCTGTGCCACCAGGGATCCTTGTAGGGTGATAAAAAAAACCTAAATCCTCAGCTTAAAAGGTAGAGAGTCAATGGATTAAATAAAAAACTGACAAATCAAGAAATATTGACAAGTACACAAGGAAACTCCAGAAGTTTAATGCGGCTGTCTCAGGGTCATCAGAAACCATATTGTGAGGAGCTGGAGTGAGGCCTGGTGTTTGTGTTATAGTATTTCTCATGTATATTGAATTTTGAGAAAATAAATGTATTGTTTTAATTAAAATTGAAATGTATAAATAAAATAAACGAGGAAAATAGAAATGTAAGCTTTTGAAGGAAGGGGGCTGCAGAAGGAAAGAAAAAAATGAAGAGAAGAATCTAGTCTCAGGCCTCAAATCCGAGCACAGCTTTTGCCTTATTTGTTGATGGACAATGCCTGACTGTGATCTCCCTGCCTCATTCTATATGGTCTTCAAAATCTTTCTTACTCTATAGCACATATTTTCTCCCAAAACTAGATCCTAAGGTCATGGAGAAAAGCACCTTCTTGCTGTTTTTGACCTCTAGACCTTGAATGAGACGTCAAGTACTCGACGCATATTTCATAAATTGTAGCTGGACAGCTACTTGGTGCAAAAGCTAAATTTAGGAACATCTTCGAGTTCATTTAAAGCACAAAGAGTTAGACTGCACATATTTCTACTTCTTTGTTGTTGTTGTTATGTGCCATCGAGTCACTTGTGACTCATAGCAACCCTATGTGCAACAGCCCTAAACTCTGCTGTCCTGTGCCAATCACACTGTCTCTGATACATGCATCCCGATTACCCCAGTCACTGAATCAATCCACCTCATAGAGGGCCTTCCCCTAGTGTACTGTCTGTCCACCCTACCAAGCATGATGTCCCTCTCCAAGGACTGGTCCCTCCTTACAACATGTCCAACGTATGTTAGATGAAGCCTCAGAATTCTTGCCTCCAAGGAGCCGCCTGGTATAACCCTCTCCAGGGTGAATCTGTTTGTTTTCCTAGCAGTCAATGGTACCCTCAATACTCTTCTCAAGCACCACAGCTCAAAAGCATCAATTCTCCTTCTATCCTCCCTAGTCATTGTCCAACTCTCTGATACATAACAAGTGATAGCAAAGACTATGGCCTGTATCAGATGCACCTTAGTCTCCAGAGAGATACCATTGCTCTTCAGAACTTTGGAAAGGTCCCTAACAGCAGACTTTCCCATTGCAATACATCTTCTAATTTCCTGGCTACTGGTGCCAAGAGTGTTGACTGTGGAGCCTAGCAAACTAAAGCTGTGAACAATCTCAATCTCTTCACCATCCATCCTGATGCTGCCAGATGGCCCAGTGGTGAGAATCTTTGTCTTCTTGACATTGAGCCTCAGTCCATATTGAAGGCTTCGACCCTCTACAGCAAGTGCTTCAGGTCCTCCTCAGTTTCAGCAATCAGGGTTGTGTCATCTGCATAACGTAGATTGTTGATAGATCTTCCACCAATTCTACCTCATAAAAGGTTAAAAAAGAAACAACCACCAAAAAACAAACCAATAAACCAGACATCTTTTAACAATCAACAACAACAACAACTCCCATTTTACTGATTGTATTAACAATCAAGCCATTTTGCATCTTTAACCACAAATATGATTAATATGCCAGGTAGAGTTGTTATGATTTTGAGAGATAGAGGAAGATTATGAGACAAGGGTGAGTTATAAATGTCTTGTTGTGTGTTGTTGAGTCAGAAGCAGCCCAGAGCTGCCCCTCCAGCAGGTTTTCAGAGGCAGTAAATTGCACAGGTGGAGACTGTCCATCCTTCTCTTGTGAAGCCGCTGGTGGATTTGAGCTGCTTGCCTTTGGAATTGTAGCACAGCTTTTTACCACAAGGCCACCAGAGCTCCCAGGTACTCATGTCATGATTTTGAGAGATCTGCATATTTTCAGTTGTCACCAGCATACTTAGGGGACCCAAGAAGAAAGCTATTTTCCAGGACGTGTAAGTCCACAGGGGTCTCAGAGTGGAGATATTTGAGTATAATTGTGTCTCATATTCTGGAACTCCTAGTTGAGCGCCCAGTGGGCAGGCAAGTTCTCACAGATCTTAACACCTTTTATAAGTCTCTTAAAACATAATCTAATTTGAAACAAGTACCACCACAGCGACCGAAACAAAGGGCTTTACCATGGTGGCATTGATGAGGACAGCACAGGCCAGGGTGAGGGTCAACCTGTTGTTCATAGGGTCGCTATGAGTCATAGTTGACTTGATGGCACATAACAATCACTTTCACTCATGTAGAGTGAAAAGAAATACTTGAATCTTTGCTATTTTTAAAAAAGCCTTTTCAAATTAGTTTAATAACATTTTTGCTTAGTGACTTTTAAAGTCAAGGTAGGTAATCTCATTTTCTATTTTTATACTCTCCCTTTTTTTATTACCTTGCTTTCTTTTAATCTTATTTTGAAAGATAATACGTTTGTATTAATAATCCCCAAGGAAAGAACCCACTGAAATGCAATGCCTTTCATAACAACAGTTCTCTAAGGTCTAAATTACATAACCCACTTTCACGAGCATTAAGTTTACTGTTGAAAATTACCATAATCGTCCCACTTACTATTTATTACAAGTATCTCCTAAGAAACAAAATCTCTATGATAATATCTCTCAGCTCCTGTGCCTATAAAAACAAAATTTAAAAATAAGCTTTCATTGCTATTAGTTGATGAAACAAATTCTTTTTAAATCCACGGGTGTTGGTGCTGCCATCTTGGTATAAAAAAAAAATTTTCTTTACAACCCTCATAAGACTATAACTTTAAGGGTCTTAAAAATCAGGACAGAGGTTTTTTAACCATGCAGGGATCCACAGGATGTTAAGTATATTATTTTTTAAGGTTACTCCTTACAAAGATTTTTTAAATATAATTTGTATAGTAATATACATGGATTTTATTTGGTGTGCCAT